CTCCCTGTGCTGTCCTGCAGGCTCCTTCCACAGCTAGTGTCCCTGACATGCAGCATAGCCACAGCCAGGAGGCTGGGCCTCAATGCTTTACCTAGCAGCCTGTCTCTGCAGAAGGATTTCTAACTGCTTTTTCTCCTGGATTGAAAAGACAGAGCTTAGAAGAGAGATTTTTGGGAACTTAAGTCCTGCCTCCTTCACTGAAGGGAGGATATTTCTGGCTTGAAAGAAGGACAGAACTTAGAGAGAGGTTTTGCTGTTCTAAGAGGTTTGTCACACTTGATATCCCATACTAATTCTCTCCAGGTGATTTTGTCTTTAACAGAAAGAAAACAGAGAAAAAGTTCTGAAAGGCTTTTTAGAGACAGATTAAGTTTTTCCCCAAAGAGAGAAAGTTTACCAAGCTTTCACAAAACTTCTGTTCTTTACACTTTTTGGCTTTATGGCCTGGAGGAAACTAATTCCGAGGGTAAGGTGTTGCACTGCTGATGGAGCAGAGGATTTTTGTTTCCATCTGTACCCGCTGAAGGGGAAATTTCTTTCCTCCACTGCTTTTTTAGCATTTTAGCTCTCCCCAGGCCAAAAGCTTCCATAGGAACCTTTTTTAAACACGATAAGCTCAAAGAAGAGCTTTTATCTGCACATAAAGCTCAAAGATTCTTCCCAGTTTGCATTCATAGCCCCGTTTCTGTCTAGTTGTTTATCTCTGTGCTAAATGTTCTTCCTAAAATTTCTACTTTACCCTAAGCTTTTTCTTTTCTATATTCCTACTAACTCTAAATTTCTTCCTGCACTATATTACCCATTCTACCTTCCTTATTTTTTATAGACAAAAGAGAGAGGGAGATAGAGAGTTGAGCCATCTCTCCAGCCCCCGAGAGTTATATTAGGTAGAGAGAAATTTATATAGAGAGAAATCTAACACTGCAGCCTCACAGTGTTTCACTGCCTACCTATATACACAAGAATAAAATACCATTGCCTTCATTTTCAATCCCTTATCAGCATGCCTGTGCTCACAACACCCTCTATACTCCTTTCACCAAGCCCAATGATAACTTTTTTGTTTTTATCTTTCTTTGTCCTGTTTCAGCACCATCTATAGAAGACCAGCCCCCACATTTATTTACCCCAATAACTCTTGAGAATGAGGGATAAGAGAGTGAATTAGAAATACAGAGGGGAGAGAAAACACAGGATAGACTCAAGTGGGCCTGAATCCTTATCCACTGGCCCAGAACTTTATTCCAAAGGTCTATTTATAACAATGCCAAGGGGTGGAGCAAAAGACCTCCCCCTTGCTAGTACAGTCACCTGGTACCCAGGCCCATGGTCCAATCAACCTTCCATGCAGTCCTCCTGCTGGGTACAGCCACTAGGAAACCTAGTGGGCTACATTAATATTGATGGATTTTTCCTGTGATTAATATAAAATATCGATCTTCTTTTCTGATTAACTTTAGTTTGAGGTTGATTTTGTTAGGTATTAGAATAGCAATGTCAGTTTGTTTCTTTTGTTTGTGTGATTGTAAAATCTTTTTCTAACCCATTACCTTGTAGTTATGCCTGTCTTTGAAGTTCAGGTGTGTTTCTTGTATGCAGCAGAAAGATTGATCCTGCTTTTTTTTTTGTTTTGTTTTGTTTTTGTTTTTTTTTTTTTGTTTTTTTGAGACAGGGTTTCTCTGTGTAGCTTTGCACCTCTCCTGGAACTCGCTTTGGAGACCAGGCTGGCCTCAAACTCACAGAGATCTGTCTGCCTCTGCCTCCGGAGTGCTGGGATTAAAGTCATGCACCACTACCGCCCGGCTGATCCTGCTTTTCTAATCATTATGTTAGCCTTTGTCTTTTTATTGGTAAATTGAATCCATTGATATTTAGAGACATTAATGACCAGTGGTTGTAAAACTGTTATTTTTGTGGTTTTGGTGGTGGTTGTGGTAGTATGTGTGTGTTTTCCTTCTTTGGGTTTTGCTGGTCTGAGATTATCTATTCCATGTGTTTTCATGGGTGCAGCTAAATTCCTTTGGTTAGAGTATTCCTACTAGTACTTTCTATGTGGCTGGATTTGTGGGTAGATTTGTTTAAGTCTGGTTTTGTTATGGAATATCTTTTTTTCCATCTATGGTGACTCAAAGTTTTGCTAGGTATAGCAGTATAGCCTAGCATCTGTGGTCTCTTATTTTCTTCAAATTGTCTGTCTTAGACCTTCTGTATTTTAGAATATCTGTTGAGAAATTGGATGTAATTTCAATAGGTCTGCTTTTATATGCTACTTGACCTTTTTCCTTTGAATCTCTTAATATTCTTTCTTTATTCTGTATGCTTGGTGTTTTGAGTACTGTGTGGCAAGGGAACATTTTTTGGTCCAATCTATTTGGTGTTCTGTAAGCTTCTTGTATCTTCATAGGCATATCCTTCTTTAGTCTGGGATAGTTTTCTTCTAATTTTATTGAATATATTTTCTGTGCTTTTGAGCTGTAATTCTTCTCCTACGTCTATGCCTATTATTCTTAGGTTTGATCTTCTCATGGTGTCCCAGATTTCCTGGATGGTTTGTATTAAGAATTTTTTGGATTTAACACTTTCTTTGGGCAATGAATCTCTTCTATCATATCTTCAGTGTCTGAGATTCTTTCATCTCTTGTATTCTGTTAGTGATGCTTGCATCTGTAGTTCCTGTTTGTTTACTCAACTTCTTCATTTCCAGAATTCCCTTGGCATGTGTTTTCCTCATTGCCTCTATGTAGCAGGGTCCTTGCTATTGTTCCCTTTGGGGGCGGGGGCCAAGTAGGCGCAGAGTCAAACCACACAGACTCCAGGAGAATGTCGAAACAACAAGCTCAGTTTATTTAGGAAGAGGCAAGCTTTATATACCCTCCACCCCACCCTTGGGCGAGGTCTGATGAATATACATCTGTTAGTGTGACATGGCTGTCTCTCATTGGTCCGGGTCATCTCCCGATCATGTTTCAGCTGCTGTTGCTAATACCATCAGGCAGTCCCAGGCTGGCTCTCAGAAAGTATCTTTTTTACTTGTTTGGGCCATCTGACCCTCAAGCCCGTTAGGGATAAGTCATCCCAAACCTCTATTTCAATGTTCAAGTCTTGAGCTATTTGCCTTATCTGTTTTTCTCTTTTCTTTCTTTTATTTTGGGAGGGGGTGGTGATGGTGGCAAGGCTTTCTTTAAGGGATTTATTGATTTCTTTCAGTTTTTTATTGTATTTTCCTCAATATCTTTAAGGGAACTCTTCATTTCCTCTATGAGGGCCTCTATCATCTTCATAAAGTTATTTTTAAGGTCATTTTCTTCCGTGTCATCTGAAATGGGATGTTTAACTCTTGCTGTTGTAGAACCACTAGGTTCTGGTGGTACCATATTGCCCTTTAGGCTGTTGCATGTATTCTTACACTGTCCTTTATGCATCTAGGTAAAGGGATAGCTATAGACACAGGTGTTGATTCTTGTGATGTCTTTGTTAAATGGTTCTTTTGTTACTTTATTACTCTTCTTTTGTTTTCTTTTGGCTTGAATGGCCTAGGGTTCTGGTGGTTGGCTGGTCCACAGGTACACAGTGTTGTCTCAGCTGCAGTCTATGGGGTATGGGTCCATAAGTGCAGCAGATCCGTATCCTACAGTTATTCTGGCTTGGGTAGGTTTACTTGTGCCTTTGGAGTCTATTCTTCCTACTGGTGTGGTTCCTCCAGGTTTAAGTAGTATTTTGCCTATTAGGGCTGAGGGTGATGTGGTAAAATGTTGAACAAGAGGTGGATGATGGGGTCAGTGGGTTTGGGTGACAGAATGGGTTGTGTAACACATATCTTAAAAGGTTTTATTAATAGAAAACATGGAGCTAGATATTGGGGTGAAAGATCAGAGAAACAGAACAAGCTACAGCCAACCTTACCTCACCAACTCCTCAGCTGATGCTGTTTCCATGATTCCTCAGACTGAAAGCTTCTGAGTCCTCATCCCTGAAGGTCTCAGTTGAATTGCTGCTTAGTTCCTGTCTCCTCATGCCTCATATACCATTCTCCACCCAACCATGACACTTTCTGGCATTAAAGGTGTGTGTCCTTCCCAAGCAAAGACATGAGATCTCAAATTGTGGGACTAAAGGTATGTGCCACCACTGCCTATCTCCATTTTCAATGTGGCCTTGAACTCACAGAGAGCCAGATGGATCTCTACTTCCCAAATGATAGGATTAAGGGTATGTGTCACCACTATCTGGCTTCTCTGTCTAATCTAGTGGCTGTCTCTGTTCTCTGATCCCCACATAAGTTTATTAGGTCACACTGTATTTGGGGGTACATAATATATCACCACATGTTTGGAGTAGCTCTGGAGTCCAGTGGATGTTGACAGTGTTGATGTGTCTTACCTGCAGGTCTCTCACCTGTTGGCTAGCTGCTGGGCACTGTGCCAGAGCACCAGAGATCCACCAGAGTTAAGGACAACATCCAGCTGCCTTTCTGGGAAGGGAAGGGCATAAATGGGAGGGAAAGGGCATAAGATATCTCCTTTGGCTTGGTACCTGGAGATTGGGGCAGTTTACCTAGGGTACCAGTCACTCACCTGTTCTTCCAACTGGAGTAGATGGTGCTTATATAGGGGCCAATGGGTTTGGGTAGCAGAGTGGGTCATAAAAGTTACTGAATCCAGTGGGCATATGGGGCAGTGGTGCAGCTTACCTACATATTTATCACCTGTTGGCCCAATTATTATTTTCATCATTTCTCTGTGTAATGCAGCACCTTTGATTCAGTCTTTCCATCTATGTCTCAGGGTGGTCTCTCTGTCATGGTCTCCATTATCTAAAATTTCATATTCCTTGAAGAGGTTATCTATTATTTAACATGTCTGTAAAATTATGTGTGAGTCACTGAAATCATTTCCCATAGCTCTCAAGTGTTACTTATCATATTTTGCTGTGATTAGTTCTGAGAACTACAACCCATGAATTGAAGATTTTCTCTTTCTTGCTCTTTTTTTTATCTAAAGACGAAGACAGGGGTTTGCTTGCTTCAAGATGGTAATCAGGAACCCTTTAAAGTCCGGCTGCACCTTGCCAGAGACCTGCTGATGCTACAGGAGCAAGATGTGCTTTGTGTGTCTGGTGAGCCTTTCTATTCTGGGGTAAGTATCTCTTCCATTGGCATTTTCTGTTTGTACTTTTTGATGATGAAAATGCTTCTTAAAAAAAACATTGAACATATTTTCTTTTATTTTGTAACTAGTCAATGGTTTTGTTGGTAATTTGTGTTCACACTACTCAGTATGATATGTCCCTGTCTGAGGACACTAAATATGCAATAGCATACTAGGGAGCCTTCTCACTTTGTCTACTGAGTTCTTGCTCTCCTATGTCAGGGAATGCTATCTACATTTTCTGATTATGTGAGAGTACAGGGCTGGTTTTCAATTATGAATTCCAATGCTTTCTGCCCTGGTCTTATTATGAAAACACCACTTTCAGGACTGATGTTGACTATGATGGTAGAAATCATCTTCCAGTGTCCTTGAAGACAGAGACTCAAGGTAGTGCTCGTTGAATTCAATGTGATTTTTTCCCCCTGAGACTGTGTCTGAATGAGTCTGCAGACCTTCAGGATAGAATTATGCAAGAGCAACTTGGGTACTCACTGTTCTAAAAGATGTGTGATTCTTTGTTGAATCTAACCTCAGGAAAAGCAAAAAAACATAAATTGTTTTATAAAACCAATTGGTATACTCCTTAGTACCACATCACGCAATGAAAGATATCTTTAGCTGACATTCTATTTAATTTGATAAAATATTAATCATAAATCAATCATTGTGTTGCACTACTAAAGACACCATTAAAACATCACCCAAATTATGTACTCTCAGGGGGAAAATATAGAAAAATTTTGCAGCTACTGAGCATGGAGATTTAATCTATATTTTCCTGATAAACTTCCCTTGCAGTTTCTGTAGGTGGTGAACACTGCTAACTTGGTGTCTTCATATCTTTTCTTACAAATACCCTTCAAGAGTCACACAATGTCTGAAATTAGTAGTACTTTGCTAGCTTAACTTAAGTGACATTTTGCAGACTGTTAACTATTCTTTTGTCACAGGCCATTAATATTGTCCTTCATTCAGACTCAAGCCCAAAATCACATTCAGGAAGATAGATGAAGTCTATTTCTAGAATTAGTTAGTACTCTATATGACCATTAATATTATTACATAAAGTATATATATATATATATATATGTATATGTATATATGTGTGTGTGTGTGTGTGTGTGTGTGTGTGTGTGTAAGAATTTCTTTTCCAAGTTAAAACAGCATCCCATAGTGAGCATATATACCATTCTGCTTATCTATGAACCAAAAGGTGTGCTTTCAGATTGCTTCTTCCTTTTCATTCACATTAAAAATGCTCCAAAAAGCCCACTCATGCACCAGGAATGATCCTGATCCCACTGCCAAGAGACCTCTTAAACATTTCAAGCTAAACAACTGTCTTGCCTATCCAGAGGGCCTACTCCAGTCCCATGGGGACTCCACAGCAATTGGTCCACAGTTCATGAGTTTCCACTAGTTTTTCCTGGTCATCTCTGTATGTTTCCTCATCACGATCTTGATGTCCCTTTCTCATAGAATTCCTCCTCCCTCTAAGTGATTGGACTCCTGAAGCTTGGCCTGGTGCCCAGCTGTACATCTTTGAATCTGCTTCTGTCAGTAACTGGATAAAGGCTCTATGATGACAGTTAGGGTATTCACCAATCTGGCCAGTTCAGGAACACTCAACTATTGCTAATAGTCTAAGATGGGGTCATCCTTGTGGACTCCTGGGAACTTCCCTAACACCCAATTTCTCCCTATTCCCATGATGTCTCCATTTATCATGGTATCTCTTTCCTTTCTCTCCCACTCTGTCCCTGTTCCAGCTTGAACCTCCCATTCCCTTACATTCACATCTCCCATCCCTTACTCTCTACTGTCCCCCTCACCCACAGTTTAGTCATGTAGATCTCATCCATTTTCCTTTGGAGGGCAATCTATCTATCCCTCTTAGGGTCCTCCTTGTGAGCTAGCTTCTCTGGAGCTGTAGGTAGTAGTCTGGCTATTCTTTTCTTTACATCTAGTATTCATTTATGAGTGAGCACACACCATGTTTGTCCTTTTGAGTCTGGGTTACCTCACTCAGTATGATATTTTCTAGTTCCGTCCATTTGCCTGCAAATTTCATGGTGCCTTTGTTTTTCTCTGCTGAGTAGTACTCCTTTGTGTATATGTACCACATTTGCTTTATCCATTCTTCAGCTGAGGAGCATCTAGGTTGTTTCTATGTTTTGGCTATTGTGAAAAATGTTGCTATGAACATAGTTGAGAATGTGTCCTTGTGGTATGATTCAGCATTCCTTGGGCATATGCTCAAGAGTGGTATAGTTGAATTTTGAGGTAGATTGAATCAAATTTTCTGAGAAACTGCCATACTGATTTCCAATGTGGCTGTACAAGTTTGCACTCCCTCCTCTGCATCCTTTCCAACCTAAGCTTTTGTCATTGTTTTTGATCATAGCCATTCTGAGAGGTGTATTATGGTATCTCAGCGTCAATCTGATTTGTTAAGTATGTTGAGAAATTCCTTAAATGTCCTTCAGCCATTTGAGATTCTTCTGTTGAGAATTCTCTTTTTAGATCTGTAGCCCTTTTTAAAAAAAATGATTATTGGGTATTTTGATGTCCAGTTTCTTGAATTCTTTATATATTTTGGAAATCAGCCCTTTGTCAGATGTAGGGTGGGTGAAGATCTTTTTCCATTCTGTAGGCTTTTGTTTTGTCTTATTGACCATGTCTTTGCCCTACAAAAGCTTCTCAGTTTCAGGAGGTCCCATTTATTAATTGATATCAGTGTCTCTGCTACTGGCGTTATGTTTAGTAAGTGGTCTCCTGTGGCAATGCGTTCAAGACTATGCCCTACCTTCTCTTTTATCAAATTGGGTGTAACTGAATTTATGTTGAGGTCTTTGATCTACTAGGACATGAATTTTGTGCAAGATGACAGATAAGAATCTATTTGCAATCTTCTACATATTGACATCAGTTATGCCAGCACTATTATACAGTTTTTTTTCATTGTACAGTTTTTGCTTCTTTGTCAACAATCAGGTGTTCATAGGTGTATTGATTAATGTCAGAGTCTTCAATTCATTTCCATTGGTCCACATGTCAGATTTTATGCCTGTATCAAAAGCTGTTTTTTATTACTGTAGCTCTATAGTAGATTCTTATGTCAGGGATGGTGATGCCTCTAGAGGTTGCTTTATTGTACATGATTGTTTTATCTATCCTGTGTTTTTTGTTGTTCCATATGAAGCTGAGTATTGTCGTTTCTACATCTCTGAAGAATTGTATTGGGATTTTGATGGTGATTGTATTAAATCTGTAGGTTGCTTTTGGTAAGATTGCTATATTTACTCTGTTAATCCTACCTATTCATGAGCATGGGAATCTTTCCACTTTCTGATACCTTCCTCGATTTCTTTCTTCAGAGATTTAAAGTTCTTGTCATACAGGTCTTTCACTTGTTTAGTTAGAATTACCACATGGTATTTTATATTATTTGTGACTATTATAAAGGATGATCTTTCTATGATATCTTTCCCACCCCATTTATCATTTGTATATAGGAGGAATACTGATTTTTTTTTTTTTAGTTAATCTTGTATCCTACCACATTACTGAGGAAAATTATCAGGTGTAGGAGTTTCCTGGTAGAATTTTTGGGGTCACTTATGCACACTATCATATTATCTGCAAATAGTGAAAGTCTGACTTCTTCCTTTCCAATTTGTGTCCCTTTGATCTCCTTTTGTTGTCTTATTCCTTTAGCTAAAACTTCAAGTAATATATTGCATAAATATTGGCAGAGTGGACAATCTTGCCTTGTTCCTGATTTTAGTGGAATTCCTTTGAGTTTTTCTCTATTTAATTTGGTGTTGGCTGTCAGCTTGCTGTAAATTACCTTTATTATGTTTAGGTATGTTCCTTTTATTCCTGATCTCTCCAGGACCTATAACATGAAGGAGTGTTGGATTTTTCTGCATCTAATCAGATAATCATGTTTTTTTTTTCATTCATTTTGTTTATATGGTGGATTACATTGACAGATTTTTGTATGTTGAACCATCCTTGCATTCCTGGGATGAAGCCTACTTGGTAATGATAGATAATTGTTTTGATGTGTTCTTGGATTCAATGTGGCAATATTTTATTGAGTATTTTTGCATCAATGTTCATGAGGGAGATTCATCGTGTAATTATCTTTCTTTGTTGCATCTATGTGTGGTTTGTGTATCAGGGTAACTGCAACCTCATAAAAGAGTTTGGTAATGTTCCTTCTGTTTCTACTGTGTGGAATAATTTAAAGAGCATTGGTATCATTAGGTCTTCTTGAAAACCTGGCAGAATTCTGTCCTGAAACCATCTGGTCCTAAGCTTTTTTTTTTTGGAAGATATTTAATGACTATTTCTTTTTTTTTTTTTTCTTTTAGGGACTATTGGTCTATTTTAATTGTTCATCTGGTCTTGATTTAACTTTGGTATGTGGTATCTATCCAAAAAATTGTCCATTTCTTTTAGATTTTCCAACTTTGTGAAGTACAGATTTTTGAAGTATTTCCTCATTTTCTGTTGTTATGTCTTCCTTATCATTTCTGATTTTGTTAATGTGGATTCTCTCTCTCTCTCTCTCTCTCTCTCTCTCTCTCTCTCTCTCTCTCTGCCTTTTGGTTAATTTGGATAAGGTCTTGTCTATCTTGTTGATTATCTTAAAGATCCAACTTTTTGTTTCATTGATTATTTGTATTGTTCTCTTTTTTCTATGTTTTTTTTTTTTTGTTTTTATCCCTCAATTTGATTATTTCCTGTCATCTATTCCTCCTGGGTGACTTTGCTTCTTTTATCTATAGGTTTCAGGTATGCTGTTAAGTTGCTAGTTAAGTTGCTAGTGTGAGATTTCACCATCTTCTTTATATGGGCATTTAGTGCTATGAATTTTCCTCTTAGCACTGCTTTTATAGTGTCCCACAAGTTTGGGTATATTGTATATTTGTTTTCATTGAATTCTAGGAAATCTTTGATTTCATTTCTTTTTTTTT